GTTCACTTTCACTTTCACTTTTGACTTCCATGTTTTTAGATGTACCATCAAGTTGAGCTAGCGTTTCTTTAATTATCCTAGATATGTTGTCGCGGCTTTTGGGTTCATCATGTTTCAATAATTGATCTATCACTGGATCTATAACTTGAGTTATATCGTCCCAGTTTAACGTATCAATCTTAGGTGGTATTTTCTTTAGTTCTTCTATCATGATCATTTTGATTCGGCTTTTTAATTCATGGGAATTGCATTGGACACCTATTGCGATTAGACCATTTTCAACTATGCTTATTTCGGCATTCGGAGATTGATTTTGTGGGTCCATTGCGTCACTCTTAATTTGTTTTAGTTGTTGTACTATATTTGCTAGCTTACATATGCTCTTTATTCGCGGTCCCGGTTGCATCTGGGTATTCTTGCTTTCCTCTAACCATTGTTCCATTTGTTGGGTAATTATATCAAGACTTTGCCGTTGTATTTCTATTTTAACTAGTTGAGATAGTAACATAATCTTCCTCGGTCCGAATATATCCTTTAATTCGTCAAGGAAGCTGCGACTGCATTGGGTTGACTCCAAGCCCTCATAAGCCTTTCGTTCTGTTTCCTCGCGGCTCTGTTGGCCCTGCTTTATTTGATTTATTCGCGTTGATAGTGTATTCCTTACGAATTTCAGATCGTCTATTGCATTGGTTATCTCATCATATTCCGATACTATTTGACTATTTCTAGCTAACACGGGCCTTTTAAATCTAGCAGACAACTCCATCTTATCTGAATTCCTAACAGCACTACACCAGACACAACACAAACCAATAACCAAGCAAACTACTTGATAAACATTCAAAGAGTATCTATTCATGCCTTTGTTCATTTTGCAATTTGCTATCTTATATTTTTATATATAGACTATACTATATCAATATCAAAGATCTTCTAGTCTTAGCCAAGCAAATTCTCTAAATTAGTAGAATATCAAAAAGACTTACTTTCTAAGTATATCTATTCAATACCAGCCTAATACTAAACCAATACGACCACTACTAACCCAACCCAAAGATCTACCTAATGTTTTACCAGCTAATTACGCCTTGCAACTTTAATAGAGTCAATCTGATTCGACTAATTTAGTTTTACATATCTACCCTACAATTCAATATGACGTCATCCTCACACAACCATATTTATTTAACAAATCAATACTAACTCGTCTCAAGAAACGTCTTTAATAGAGTCGGTGTTGGCCAATACTAACCCTATCCAATCCAACCCAATAACACCATCTAATCTATAAAAGCTTATCTAAAACTCTCGAGTAAGTATAGTCGAATAAAGATAGCACCACCCACTTCTAAATCTACCCTTAGGGATGAAAGGTTGTATTCCTGGTCCTAGAGACAGAAAGGAGACTCATTTGGTTGGTACTTTGGCTCAATAAAGATAAGTTCCAAGTCTCACATGCCGAGGTCTTTTGTATTTCAAACGGGACGAGCTTCATGCTCGGCGTGCCACACTTAATACTAACTCAACTCTATCAAATACTAACCCAACTAGATATTACAATAAACTTAATGATAAACTTAATGCCATCTCTTTATTCTTCTTACACACGGCGATAGTCCTATTATGATTGGGCTGAAAAAGAGTCTAAATACCCGTTTTGATTGACTGGCTCTGGAACTTACTGGCTAGGAGTGTCCAACTGGTTGTCGCCAAGACTTCTCAACTGTAGCCATGACTCGATTGATATATTCTGGTCTGTTTTTTAGATACAGTTCAGAAGCCTCGGAATTGGCTGGTGATTCAGTATTGGGATCATTTAGCAAAGACTGAATACAAAGCAAGACTAAACCAACGCCATAAGTTGGATTCCATTTGTTTTTAAGAATGTCCAAACATAGTTCTCCGTTTTTGTAGATGTTAGGATGGAACATTTCAGAGATAAAGATAACTTCTGGAGGATGTTGTGGATATTGTTCAGTAAATCTTATCTTTAATTCAAAAACGCCATCTTCAAATGGAGTATCTTGTGGGCCAAAAATAATAGCTCGCCAGTCCATAATATCAGTTTTACTTGGAGCGGCCATAATCATATCAAGAGGCTCATCGATAAGTCGCTTCATATCGCGCATGATCTGTCGCTTACTTGGAGTTGACATAAAAATTTGCCTTTTTGGGACATTATTCTACTCCTCTATCAAAACTCCCGGTGTGAAAAGACACAAACCATCTAAAGATGTAGTTATTAAAGTATTATCAGCAATAAAAGCAAAGTCTTTGTAGTATCTTTGTCCTTGGTGTACGAAGTTTAAGTATTTATGGTACTCCCATTCTTCAGTAAAGGAAGTATCCCAAAGAACAACTTCACAATCAGAACTAGAAGCAAAGACTTCTGGAGTGGCAAAAGCTAAATGGGTGATAGGTGAACGATGGAAAGAAATAGTTTCTAAAATAGAACTAGCTCGCTTATCAAAGAGAGTGAGTGTTCCTGTATCATCACCAATGATGATGTGGTTTTCGGAGTTGTAAGCTACGGCATTGATGTCAACTGTACTTTGGTAGATTTGGGTTAGTTCGCCCGATCGGAAATCAGCTACTGATAAGGCTGTAGTGGCAACTAAGGCAGTGTTAGTTGCAAAAGGACAGAGTGAGAAGACTTCAGTGGCCTGAGTATCAATTGGATTGGGTTGAGGTGTTTGTGTGGCAATAGTCTGAGGAGCATCTTTTTCCAGTGTATTCTCGAGAACGACTTGGGAGCCATTACCATAGAAGATTTCCTGAGGTGTAACTGCCAGGGCAAATCCACCTTTAATGGGTTTAGTGCTCAGGTGTTGCATATCATTGGTAAAGATAGATAAGGACTGATCAGTGATAGCTACAATGTGATTGGGTTGGGCACGGACTCGATTGATTTGGGCTGGCAGTTGGTGTGTAGCTAGTTTAGAGATAGATTTACGAGAAGGTCGCGAAATATCAATGGAAAGTTGAGTGAGTTCTGAAACCAAAGGAGACTGATCGGGGGTTGCTTCAATATAAACACTTTCCTGGTCGTGTGACAAACAAACTGTTAAAGAAGGCCATTCAAGTTCAATGGTTTCTAGCACATTATAAACATCATCGTTATCTAATTCCATTGCTTCTGGAGTCTGAGCGGGCTCATAATCACCTTCACTTGAATAATCACTGGCTTCCAGGTCAAGGGCGGGTTCTTCACTCTTTTTACCGCCAAAACCAATCCGGCGATTAGATGAACGATTAGATGGGCGATTATTAGAAGAGTTCTCGTTACGGGCCATCGTAAAATTTTACAATTACCCCATATGGTAATACTTCCAATGAATTGAATTGAGATAACATTAAGTTAAGTTATGTTATGCTATGTTAATGTAGTGCCTAATACTAAGTCCATCTTAACTAATACATACTCTAATAAAGATATCCTTGAGATAAATGGTGTCTTTTATTAAGTAAATAAAGGTATGAGTGAGAGATGACGTCATATTGAATTGTAGATAAGATATGCAAAACTAATTTGGCTTGTGTTTAGATTGTGTTGGTATTGTGTTTGTGTTTGGTTTGGGTTTAGATTGTATTTGGTTTGTATTTGGTTTAGATAGTGGTCGTATGGCTGCACTACAGTTATGTTATATTTAAGATAGCAATAGTACCATCTTAATACCAACTTAACATAATCCAATACCATCTTAACATAACCCAATACCATCTTAACATAACTCAACTTGTATTAATGTGACTTTATTGATTGATTAAGGATTATTATCAGGACAGGTTGGAATAGACGGATTTGTAGGAGGAGCCCAATTATTCACTATCTGAGTAGGAGCATTATACGTGGCATCAAGACTAGTAGGTACTTTAAAACTCGCATTAACTGCTTCCTCAGCACGCAAAGGCCGAACCAAGACTAAACACCCCAACCCAACTCCAGACCAAAATACTAACCCTAATCTTACTTGCTTAAACATACTCCTGGATCAAATCCTGATTTTATTGTCAAATCAAAACAAAGATAGAGATACCGCCAGTAACTAACCCGACCACTACCCACTAGTTTCACAACTTATTGGTTAATCTACAGATAATCGCTGCTTTATTTCCTTTCAGTTGCCCTTACTAAACAAGCCAGATCACTAGCTAAAGCCGGAGCTATCCCCGGATTCTTATCACAAAAACGAAGTAAAGCCTTACAAAACCCTAAGTTCTTATTCAAGTACTTAAAAGCCTCCCCAGGCACTTCCTTCTTCTTCCTAATACTCTGAAGAACTCCAGCCATCCGCCATCCATTCACTGGATCTAAACCCATCTCACTCCCACTCTCCTTAGCACTTCCTCCTCCCAGCCGACAGACGTTCTCCACTACATCCAGCCCAAACTTAGCCCCTTCCACAAACTCTAAAACACTCCAATCTATCTCTTCCTGGTACTCTATCTCATCCCAAACCGCATTAAAAACAAACACCCGATCTAATAAACCTACATCTTGCTTAGCCAGCCAAAAAATCAAGATCTGCACCGCCTCTGATAAACCATCCACCAAGCCAACTTCCTTCTTCCATTCTAATCCCACCCCCGATTCATGCGCTGATACATAAGCATCCCTCTCCTTCCGGCCCTCTAAACCTTCCACTACAAACTTAACTCCCGTTCGGTACAACTCATCCACCAGTCCACGAATAGCTCTAAACACTTCATCTGGACATATCAAGTACATCTCTTGAAAAGCCAGACCGCGCAAGTACTCCAAGGAACAACTACCCTTAGCAAAGTCTAAGTAGGCCCTATCCGGCAATCGCTTCCCAAAAATAAGATCTAAATCACTAGGCGGCTCACCACCTTTCAAACAAACTAAGTTCCCATTCTCAGTCAAGACCGGATGGTACTCCACACAAGCTTTAGCCCGTAAGAATTTCTGCAAGTACTCCTGACCCCCACTACTCCCACTACTACTCCGTAACCAGCTTAAACCAGACGATTCAGCTAAGTAGGCCTGTCTGACCTTCTCAAACTTAAAGTCCACACTAAACTCAGTCACAGTCGGACAGTATTCACAACCCAGTAATAAAAGCAGTTCACTTAGTTTATGCCCAGATACTTCCAAGGCCTTACATAAAGCAGCATGTCCTACTACACGTACATGAGATACACCACCTCTTCTTATCTGATCAGCAAAAACAAAATCCAAAATCAAACTACCAGCCCCTGCAAACAAAAAGTAATCAGTCGTCCCAAAAAACCTATCTAAATACCTTTGCCGGACCATATACGCCCCCTGGGCAGCGGCTGAGTAGGGTGCATTAACTATCTCTACTCCCAATTCCGATAATTTTTGATTAATCATACGCTTGGTCTCCTCGTACCCCACTGCTGAATTCCAAGTCTTCTGGGCCAGATGAACTTCCTTAGCTCGATACTGATTCCAGCCACGCTCTAATTTATCGATACGATTGGTCAGTGCTGGATTCCTACCTAAATCCGTTAGTGGTACAATGCCACTCCAAATCCAGACAACTCTACTCTCTATCTTAGATAAGGCTGCAATTATTTGTTCAACTGCAGATAAGATTGTTCTATTTACTCCATAGAGTGCTACTTGTCTATTTCTTTGAAAAGAAGAGTACTTTCTTGCAAACCAACTTCCATCTATACCGATAGTCTCTTTCGCCAAAATTTCAACAGTAAGTCTTTGGGCTATTTCTTTCTCAATTAGTTCCTGCTCTAGGCCACGCACTGGCATCTATAAAAATCTTGCGGTCTAAACAAAGAATTAATAGGATATGGATGGTACTATGGCAACTAAGAAGATTGTAGTGATTGGAGATGGTAATTGTGGTAAAACATGTTTACTGATTAAGTATGTTTCGGGCCAGTTTGAGGAGAACTATATTCCTACTGTTTTTGACCAGAAAGAAGTGACTTATCGTGATGACGTCACTGGGCAGGAGATTTTATTGAGTCTTTGGGATACGGCGGGACAGGAAGATTATGATCGGGTGCGTGTTTTATCGTATGTAGATACGGATTTGTTATTGGTATGCTTTGCTTTGAACTCAGTGCGATCTTTGGAGAGTATTGGAGAGCGATGGAATGAGGAGATTGAGCATTTCTGTAAGCGGACACCGCGGATCTTGGTAGGGATGAAGGCTGATTTGCGCAAGAAATCCGATGCCAATTTGATTACGCAGGAGAAAGCTATTGAGATGGCCAAGTACATATCGGCCCGGTCTTATATAGAGTGTTCTTCATTTACGGGTCAGAATGTAGAGGAGGTCTTTCATCAGGCCGTGGATGTATTGATGAACCGGAAAAGGAAGAAGGCTAAGAGTAATGGGTGTCGAACTGCCTGAGTAGTATTTAGTTGGTTTTATGAGGATATTGTGGGTTGGGTGGGGTTCTGTGGGTTAGTATTGAGTTAGTATTGGGTTTAGTCGGATTTTTAGGGACTGGGAAAGTTAGTGATTATTTTCCTTTTTGGGTAATTTTTGGGGAGGTGAAAATTCCGAAAATAACAATTTGTTGTCATCTTAGCTAAAATTAAGTTAGTTGATGGGAAATTGGCCTGGAATAGTCAAAAATGGTCAAAATGATGGATGGAAGACGATAAAAGGAATGGAATGGGTTGAGGAGGTTGGGATTTGCATTTATTTTAGCTTATCTTATCTGAACCTGGCGCTGGATAGTCTATAGACGATCTGGTTCTTTTTTTTGTATGGAAGAGGTTAGTCGTAAGAGTTTGGCTGTTTTGATACGAGAGAAGGACTATTTAGGAATTGTGGACCATCCTGAAGCAAGTGCGCATGAGAAGTGTGTGGCTTTACTTGAACTGAAGCAGTATGAGCAGGCTTTGCATCTAGCTAAGAACAACTCATTTGCTAAGGCTTATTGCTACTACAAATTAGGGAAGTATGGAGCAGTGCTTAAGACGGCTAAACATAAGAAAGGTGAATGTTGGGCTAGTATTCGTATGCAGGCTTATTATGCCTTGGATCGGTATGAATGTGCTATAGCTGAAGCGGCGGAGTTACCACAGAGTGAGGCCGTTTTGGTTAATTATGCGGCTGCTTTGGGTTTAGCTGCTGCTGGCACGGGTTCTAAATGGGTGAAGGAAATAAGTGAGTGTAGTAGTCGGGCCCAGGGTTTGGAGGAGAATATGCGTAATGAAGTGGCTTATAACTTGTGTTTTCAAAACTTGCCTTATAAGGAAAAGTTCGTGCGTAGTTTGAAAGCTTTGGCCCCGTCTGATCCTGAGACGCGAGTTTTAGTGGATTCACAAGTTCTGGCTTTGAATGGGCAGCATGGAAGTATTCCGGCTGATGGTTTGCTTCGTCGGAACCGTGAAATTCTCTTCTACAACCGTGATGGTGAGGAAGCGCCTACTCTACGTCGGGAAATGAAAACCTTCCAAAGAACTATCTACTATCAAAACCGAATCAAAAGCCACTTCCAAAAAAGTGCTGATATTCCTGAACTAACTGAAGCCCTAGAAGACTACCATGCCGGTTGTGCCGACAGTCTTATTCGGCTGGTATCACGCATGCCTCGTGCCAATGCCGTTCATTTAGAGGCTCTCATGCGGCTCCATGGCATACCCACCAACCCACTTGCTCGGTACCTCAAGCACTCTCAGTAGTATTAGTCCGGTATAAGGCAAGTTAGTACATCTTAGTATGTCTTAATACGTCTTAATGCCTTGGCAGGTACAACCAGTACCATTCTAATAACAACCCAAATAAAGCGAGATCGTAATGAATTAGCACAGTATTCTAGCAAGTTTAGTATTGAGTTATGTATGGGTGTGTATAGTTATGTATGGGTGTGTATAATTATGTATTGGGTTAATTTATGTTGTGTTTTGTTGTGCTGTATTTTGATATGATAACAATCTCACTATCTTTTAACCTAGTACCAACTTAGTACTAACTCAACTCAACTTAACACTAACTCAATTCAACTTAATACTTGATTAAATATACCAATAACAACATGGCGAAGAGTATAAATATCGAGGTTCTTTTTTTGTGTAATGTTAAGTGGTGTCTTTCTTATTTCGATATCGGCTGGTTTAGTTTGGCTGGGAACTCGTCCTGTGCCCATTACTCAACGGAAGGAAAGTATGTCAATGGATGATGCTAAAATGTTCCCAATCTTGGGATCAGCAGTGCTTCTTGGACTCTTTGTGGCTTTAAAGATGTTGCCTAAAGAGTTGCTTAATACGATATTCCGAGTGATCTTCTCTTTATCCGGATTGTTTTCGGTTTACAAGGCCGAACAAGCCATTTATAACGCAGTACAGGCTTATGTCAATACTTATTGGCGAGCCAAGAAAGAGGCTCAAAAGCCAGCCACTAAAGAAGGGAAAAAGACCCGAGCTAGTGCGACTAACAATGCCTCTTCTAATACTAATAGTACTGCGGCCCCTAATGAAGTTAATGCTGATCCTACTGCTAAACCAACCACTAACGATACAACTAGTAAAACTACTAGTAAAACTACTAGTAAAACTAGTGCTAGTGAAGAACCATCTAAGACAGATGCACCAGTATCAATGGCTGGAAAGATTGGAGAAGTATTGAAGGATTGCAAGAAGGACATTATAAATGTATCCCTTGAAGTTTGCCAACTCCCGAATATCTTCTTATTTGGAATCAGTGTAGCTTTGAATGCCTTGTATATCAAAAACAAGAATGTTGGTCTTGCTAACATTCTAGCTTGCTGTTTTTCAATTGCGGGGCTGCAGGAGATTCGTCCGGACTCGACTAAGACTGTTCTGCTCTTGTTAGGACTGCTTTTTGTTTATGATATCTTCTGGGTCTTCTGCACACCGGTTATGATTGGCGTGGCTAAGAATTTAGACTTGCCGATTAAGATCGTTTATCCTTGGGGGAAGAAAGGTGCTAGTATGATTGGATTAGGTGATATTGTTATTCCTGGACTGTTCTTAGGAGTGGCCCGGGAGTTTGCCATTAAGGAAAAGGCCCGTTGGGTTTGGATTCTTGGTTTTATAGCTTATATTCTTGCTTTAGTCGTGACCTTTGGGGTAGTAATGATCTTTGAATCGGGACAGCCTGCTCTTCTTTACATCTGCCCATTGATTGCGGGTGGTAGTATAGCTGGGGCTTATCTACACGGCAAAACAAAGGCCTTTATCGATTATAACAACTAATAAAAGGTAAAAAGTGAATTGAATGCGTATTGGATTGAGATTTAGTAAGACTTGGATTTGATTTAAATTATGTGTTTATTGGATTAGTATATGGCAGAGAGATAGTTAACCTTTTGGGTTTGACTGGTGTGGTGTCCTCGCCGGCCTCCACTTTAAAGTGAGTTATCTACAGGAGCATAGTTCTGTAATACTTGTCGGCCTGGCACTGATCGCAGCAAATGCGATTAAATTCTTGAATTAGAAACCACAAGCTCATATTAGTATTTATATTCTGAGTTTACAGACTATCTCAAGATGACGTACGATAAAGAGAGCCTAATCTATACTAACCCAACTTTCGTACTATAGTGTTATACAGTTCTTAAATACTTATAACATCTTAAATTAACCCAACACCAACACCAACCCAATTCTTTTGAAATTTGATATAATCGAATTGATTATTTAATGGGTTTTATTTCATTTTGAATATGTCTTATCTCAAAAGTCGAATCACTCTAGGTATAAATGAGAATTATCTATCTACAATACTTATGTGGAAGGTTATTATTGGGTTATTGGTGGTGTTGAATGTTGTTTGTGGGTCGGTTGAAGATAGTAAGGGTGAGTTGGCTTGTATAAGTAGGGTTGGTAATGGGAATGACTCT